AGAGTCCCTTGATGGAACCGTAGAAGTAGAGATGTTCCTTTACCGTCATGCGGTCGTAGAGAATGTTGTGTTGAGGGCAGAGGCCCAGGAAGGTGCGAATGGCTGGCATTTCCGTCTTGATATTCCTTCCGCAGATATAAGCGTCCCCGCTGGTGGCCGGGTAGATACCAGTGAGAATGGACATAGTTGTGGTCTTTCCAGCTCCATTATGGCCCAGAAAGGAGGTGATTTGACCCTCATAGAAGTCAGCCCACAAGTTGTTAACAGCAGTCTGTTTCCCACGGCGATAGGTTTTAGTCAGACCGCGGATGGAAACGCCAACGGAGCACTTATCTGGTGGTGGTTCGTGGAATTGATTGTAGATTTGTGCTGATGGGTGTTGTGGCCAGAAGGATGACGAAAAGGACATCGAAGACGAAGATTCCGGCGGCGACGACGGAAGCTCTCCAACATCAACTTTCCGGTCTTCGTCAGTTCTGTTGCGAGCATAGCAGCAGCACTTACGACAGACGTTCTTCCAGAAGCTGGGGCTGAACAGGAAGTACCACTTTTGCGGCACGCCGTAGGTGCTCGGCAGGACTGCTTCCAAGTAGAGCGTACAGACGAAGGCCAGAATGCCATCAACCAGCAGCATCACCATACAGTTTCCTAGCGTAAAGCTCTCATTAGTGAGCTCCGTGCCCCACAGATTGTTCCACTGAGCACCTATCCCAGTCCGCTCTAAATCTGCCAGCCGGGTGAAAGCCAACGCTAGGGCAACTTGTGGAAAAAGGGATAGCGCGGAAAGCTGTATGTAGTCCAGCTCATAGATGAGGACCAAAGCGTAAGGTATGAACATGATGAAGTAGAATAGGCCCGAGACAACTGCAGCAAAGTTGGCCTTTGAGTAGAAGACAGACACCAGGAAGGCCTGTGGAATGATGGCCCAAAGGTATGCCAAAAGACAGCCGAGCAGCACAAAGAAGTCCGCGTTGGGATTGATGCCGCCAAATTTGAGCATCAGGGCTGCGCACAGGCTGGAGGCGCCCATCAACACAGCACTAACCGTCCACCAATTCAGCCAGTGCACCAGATTGCCCATGCCCATGACCTTGGTGAACTCCTTCAGCCGGCACTCCTTCTCGTAGACGATGGCACGCACGGCGAAGACCGCTGTGCAGATCCAGATGATGACCACGATCATGGGCAGATTGGAGGCGAAGATGGGCAGCATGGGGTCCACCTGATAGCAGGGACCGGGCACAAATTTCATCTCAACCGGAAGCAGTAAATTGGAGTAGAGATTAGCATCCTCGTCACCGTCTAGGCCACCAATCAGGGTGAGGTAGGAGCGTGCAAGCTGCTCCTGTACATCAATGAAGCCGCTAGTGAAGTACTTCATCGAGTCTCTGACACGCGGGCGTGAAGACGGAGTCCAATACTTGTCGAGGACCTTGAAATTGCGTGTTAAGTCCACAACGTTAAAGGGTAGACGGAGGCGAATGTCGAGGAGGGTGGAGTTGAGATCGCTGAGATCTGCGGAGGTAGCCGGTGCAGCATCAAAGTATAAAATCATCACAGGTAGGCCGGCAGCGCTGAGGTTCTGGGCTGTTTTCTCCATTAGGCTGGCATTAGCGTAACCGAAAAAACGATCATAGTTGATGCAGGTAGACAGGACGTCGTCCACCGCAGCACTGAGGGCTTTGATTGGTTCAATCAACTCCGACCAATGGAGGTAGGGCGTGGTGTTGGCTGGTGGCGGCCTGTCCGCTTGCAAAAAGTACTCCAGTCGGCGACAGGTCTCAGTCACTTCGGCCGATCGATTTGGTAGAAGCCCACAAGTGACGGTGATAAACGCCCGGAGTCGCCTAGCCAGAGTGCTATTTACAAAAATGAGTGGCAACACTTCATCTGCCATGGCCACCCAGGCATTAGAGACGTTCTTGAGGCGTTCGAACATGAGGGCCGTTAGGTTGGCTCCGCGGACGATTCGCTGGGTGAGCGGTGTGACGGGATGATAGAGAATGTGCCCCTGCATTAGGGTACGCAGTCGTAGAGTCCATGGACGGATTTCTTTGACAGCAAAGATGGCGTTGATGGCGGAGCAGGCGGTATTACTTCTGGGCAGGCCTTTGGCAGCATTAGTAAACTGACTGAACATAGCTGTGCTGATATCCTTTGGGGCGCCGCCGCTGTCTCCGAGATTCCCAATCTGCGGCAACAGGATGTCGGCCAGGCTAAGGAAATCATTCTGGCCCGGTCGGGTGCCACAAATGGAAATCGAAATACGT